GAGTGAGATTTTAAAATCAATCAGTGCAGTTTTATTGGGGCACTTTAACTTAAAATTGGTACAATGTTTTGTTTTACATTCAACATTTGTTCATACTGGGTTAGCATATGCAATGTCCAGGTGCTATTTGTTTTTCTTTTTACTGCATATGAAAACTTTCCACTTGCTGTTGAGGTTATTCTTTCCAAGGTTTTGCTTTTTGTCTGCAGTCTCCCCACTTGTCGCTTGCTTGACACCTTAAGGTGTGGATAAAGTCTACACTCTAGACTTCCCTTCACCTACATGTATGAAGTTCTGCTAATTTCACTGTCAGAATAAGATCATAGAAGGACCTTGTGCTTCCATGGGTAATGGCTAACCTGGCAGATGCCGTATGCAGGTAGATAAACAATAGTTTAAGAAATTTGTGTGACATGAGGATTGAAAATAAAAGAATAATTAAAGGAAAGGCAAGTATTAGTAAAAGGATAATAATTATTACTGGCTTTGTTTGAAATGTATGATGAGTCAATTCAACTACATCTTTTTAGGTGTCATACAAAACTCACCCAACAAAAATATTCCTTTATTGGCTTTGTAGAATTGTCATTAAGCATTCTTAAGCTAGCATGCCGACATGTCTGTTTCTTCAGTCCATTTTTTGTACAACTTCTGTACTGCCTAAACTAATCATTCCCTCAAGCTAATCTTGGTGGTTATTGGAATATAATATGGCAACTGTTTACACATGTAAGAAAAAAAATATTTCTGTGTTATGTTAATTGCCATTGATATATTAATGTGACCCCAATTTTCATCCTTGTTGGTCAAGGTCAAAATGAACTCAACTCTTCAAAGCTGCAATTCAGTGAAACACTCAAGCATGTACTTTAACCATATATACTGTCCTGCACAGATGCTTAATGTTTTGCTCAATGTAGTAACACTTAACTTTAAAGAAATATGGAGTGTTTTGCTGACTGAAGCTTCGACAGATGAATCATCTGCCCACTCCGATTCAAGCATACACTGCTGTTGCATACACCACAGCGATCTTGAGAACCCTTAGACGGACAGCGATGAGTCTCTGAACTTAAATACTCACCACGTGACTCATGGTGATGAGAGAAAGTCAGACTGCATGTACAGTAAGAAAAAGCTCTGACTATGACAGGGTGGGTTAGAATAAACTCAAAATCATTCTAATTTCAGCCATTATCTTCTTGTTGACACTTTGCTTCCTCTTCCTCCCCCCTTCCACTCTTGGTCATTAACATACAGATTATCATGTCTAAAATTAGGGCTTTGAGAAAAGAGCCAGAACCCTGCACCCTGTTCTGGAAAGACCTTAACATATAATAAAATGCTATAGAAGTACTTAATGTTATTTTTACTGTTTTAAAATGTACAGTGTGTGAGATATCATAAGAAAAACAGACCACCCCTCCTCAAGGTCCTCCAATAGCTCCCTTAAACTCTTCCTTTGGAGCTCATGACGGTGCAAATCATACATATAGGGGGATTAAAATTAGGGGCTCTACCCTATTAAACTGACTGCCTTTAATTTTGTGCAGGTTATCTGACAATTTGTGTTAAAAAACCCAGTAAGACCACAGAGTCCAAGTGGCATGTGCTTCCCTTTGTGAGTATCAGTGATCACTGAAGACATTTCTTCCTCTCGGTATTCCTGTGATACCAACTATCCAAATGGCCCAATTAGCTTCTCTTCTAGCATGTATTACTCTTTGGATACCGTGAAAATGAAGTGCAGGGCAGCGGGGCACCTGTTGATATGTCCCACTTTCACATTAATGATTCCCAGCAGTAAGAGATCCCTTCAAGTCAGTCAGACTGTTCAGAATCAACTTTGCTGAGAGATGAGCTTTAAGGATAAAATAAAAGGTAGAATAGTTAAAACCAATTCACTTTACAGCAGAGTTATTGAGTTACACTATTTCACTTTAAAATAAAACTTGTCTTTGAATTGTCTTTGAAAACTTGTCTTACCTATTCCTCAATTGTGTTCTTCTACCTTTTACCCTTCAATGTCACTCCAAGCTAGACTGCCCTACTCTGTGTCTGCGCCTTGCAAAGGAAACTTCCTTCCTCACTTCCTGTGACTGAATACTTGAAATCAGATGGTATTGTGGAGAAGCAGGAAAGGTTCTTGCCTTCCCTCTTCCCTTTGTTTCTTTCTTCTTCCCTGATTAATTTGATAATAATTTCTACTGTATACTCTAATTATCAAACATTTTCTTCTGGTTGCTTACATGTTTTCCAGTCTCCTGAAGGCATGTTGGTTAAATTAAGCCAAAAATTATGATAAATAGTAAATGTGTTATCTTCTTCCTAGATTTACAGCAAACATGAATTCTAAACAATGGCACTCATAATTTGAAGAAGTGTGCCCCTCACACACGGATCTTTCTTTTTTTGCATTCAAAATTTTACAGGTTTTATTCTGTGAAGTCTGTCAAGCACTTTGAAAGAAGAGTGGATTGTCTAAGGTGCAGGTCATGTGCATGAAAACAGATTAATTATGCTAACCTTTAAAGCATATATTTAAGATAAAACTCTTCAGTGTAAAAATATGAAACGTTCATTTCAGTAGGGACTGCAGCCTATTCCCAAGCGCTTGCCGTTTACATAAGGAAATCTAGGTTCAGAGCAAAAGAAAAGGTTATCACCCACATAAGCACTGTGAAAAAGGATGGCTTCCCTGCTGATACTGATTCCACTTGATTTTTGATTTTGGTATACTGTCAGGTTTTTTTTTGTTGAACCTTATAGTCATCAGCCACTCCAGCAAAGATGGTAAGCATGTGTTCAGCTTTGACCTGAGTGGGAACATTTATCTGCTTATTTTACAGAGACCTAAATGGTGTTCTGAATTATTTGCTGAATTCAGAGAGGGCTCTCATTCCCCTTGTGAATTTACCTTTTAACTTCAGTAGGAAAAAGATCAGATACTCTGTCAAAGTCTTTCTTGGTTTTTAAAAAGAGTAATTAAAGTTTTCTGTCTTTCTCTCATGCTGTTTCAGAGCTTGGCTTATAAAACAAGGATGGTGATTAAGGTCCAGCGCTACAATCTTTTGCTGCTGTTTAGCATGACCCAATAAAAGCGCATTTTCTTAAAAACATGTCTTTCCCTTTTTGCTCCTTTTCCCTGTAGATATTACATTTTTGTATGGTTGAGGCTGTTTTCTTTCTGACTCGATTTTTTTTTCCTTACATGTGAAATGTTTTGAACCAAATATAGAACAGTCTGTATCCTACTAGAGGAACTGAAAATTAAAACGGTCTTTCAAGCTGAGGCTAAGGTAGTGTTTCTGTTCTATCTTTTTACTTCAGTCCTGGAGCAAAGCCTGTGGATTCAGATTTTTTCCAGTATTATACTGTCCTGTCAAGTAGAGCTAAAAAATAATAATTCTGTCTATTTAAGACAGTGTGTAGTCAGCTGTCACCATATTGACAAGTTTACAGTTTGGCTGCTTATTTTAATTGGATCCCAGTTATGTAGCATTAGAGAGCAGATGTTCCTGGTGTAATCTGATAGTAATTTTTACTCTATTTTCTAATTTCTAGTCAAGGATAGATGATTTGATGAGACCAAGGACTCTGTCAAACCTCCACCCCACTCTACCTCAAGCTGATCCCTTGACCTGAAAGAAAGAACAAACAGTTCTGCAGTAAAATTGTTTCGTTGTGTGCTGTACCTTAGTTGTGTTTAGATGAATACAGAGCACCAATAAGATCATTTTGGATAGTCTTTTTTGTCCTTGCTAAACTTTGCCTGTGGTTGGAAAATAATTTTATAGCAGGCTTAAGCACACATTTTTTAAGAGAAAATTGGAATAGAGGCTTGTTGGCAGTAACAAATTATGGTATACTGAAAATTTTGTAATGAGAGTTAAGATGTAGAGAGTAATAAATAAGGAAGTGGAGCTCTGAAGAAAAATGTACCGAGAGACTGATTTATCCCTGAGATACAATTAATTAATGGTTGTTGCTTCTATTTTATGATGTTGGTGTTTGTTTCTTAACTGCCTCAGACTGTGGTAGATATCAATGTTCTGTGCGTAGGCCTTTTAAATTCTATAAACCCATAACCATTTTGTGCAGTCTATTGGTTAAATGTCAACACAGGCACATGGACCAGATGGCATTGTATTTCTTAGTCTAAGAGCAAGGAAGTCAAGGGACTTGTTCATATTAATCTATCCTATTTTGTGACTGCTTTAATTGTTCATTATTTTAATTATTCTACAGAAGTTGTAATTTGTGTTTTTAATAGTACTTTTAAAGAACTTGTGAATAAATGTATTGTGAACAGATGTTAGTTTCACTATCCATATCAATACTTTTATGATAGATTATGATGGTAACCCTACCTTCTTCCCAAGATCCTGTACTAAATACTCAAGGAAAAATAAGAGAGTATTATAGGCAGGTTTTTTATGTCTGTATATAACTGTGTCCTTACTTTCCCTCTGGTTTTACAGGGCACAATGACTACATGTGTCCTGCTACTAACCAGTGCACCATTGACAAGAACAGAAGAAAGAGTTGCCAGGCTTGCCGACTAAGAAAATGCTATGAAGTGGGAATGATGAAAGGTGGTATGTACACAGCAGTCAAGAAATCCTCAGCACTGGTGTCTACCTTCCTGTCTTTTAACTTCATTGGACAGCTGATATGGTTCCTAAAGGAGAAAACAACTAATTTTATTGAGCTGAAGTGTATTAAATCAAAGAACGATTAAATAAAATACTCCCAAATACCATGTTATTATTCTTACCCAAATTTTGCATCAAAATTGATAGGAACATTGACTTCGATGTAGTTAGGATTCTTCTGTTAATATTTTTAATTTTTTTTTTTTTTGGTCTCTCGTGGTAGACTCCAGATCGTAATGAATGAAACTTAACCCAAGATTTTGTAGCATTTTGCAGTTCAGTGTGAAAAGCACTGGTAGTCTCAGATCAGTCCATATTCTGTGAATTCTGGAAGGGAAAGTCAATTCCTCTATTCCAGTACTGTACACATATTTTATATGTGAATTAATTTCACCCAACAATATTAAAGGCTCACTCATTTTATAAAAACTGAGATAAATGCCACTTTGTTGGAACATACTTATTTAATAATGATGTCAGAAAAGAAAAATCAGACACTGAATACTTAGGCTGAAGCAGAATACCACTAAATTACTTTTTTTATACACAGTGTTTAACTTTTGGAGGCAAAATTATAAATACATGACAATACAGAACAATAGCTACGGTGTGTTCTTAGATGGAAGAGTTCTTTTGTAATGTGGTTTTGGATCAATCATGATACCTGCCTTTCTCCTCTATGTTACCGTCTCCTCTGTGTTTGTCAAAAGCAGACAAGTTAGCTATTTTTAATCCTTTTGAAAAAGCCAAGCTCCTAAGAATTAAGAGTATTTAAGAACAGGAAATCGTAAAGTTTCATGTTTGCTCTAAAGCAGAAGAAAATCTTGTTGTAGCCTACTAAAAATTTCAGATTGCTATTATTAATGAAGAGTAATTGCTAGCTTTATTGAAACCTATTTCTATAGGAAAATTTAGCAAACTACTAAGTGCTCAGAAGAGAAAGGATTAGAACCCATGTCTTATGTGTGAAAGGAGCTAATTGTTAAATTACAGATTGGTTGTCCCTTTCTCTGGCACACGTAATGCTTACTTATTCCACAGAAAAACCTGGGGCAAGAGAGAGGAGTAGTTCATCATGTTTATCCTTCCCACAACAAAGGGTTGTTTATAAGTCCAGTCTGTGTGGTCAAGGTAGGCCAAGTCTGGGAATATTGGGAGAAAGAGTGAAGGGGAAAGAGTAAAAGAAAGCTAGTAAGTAGCTGCTGCGCTTTGGGGTTGAATCTGCATTTTTCTCAACTCAAGGATTAGGCAAGAGCTGAGACTGATTTTGTTAATCTCAGTTTTGGGATGCAAGCAGGAGGAAGGTGTCAAATCTCTTTTTAGTTCTAACATTTAAGACAGTACCTGATTTTTTTTTCATAAGACTTATTCTATGGATCCAGAGTATTCTTATTTCTATCTTAACATCCTGGTGTATGCAGCTAGAACTCTTTAAAGTAAAATGTATATCATTAATATCACAGCTATGGTCTGGAGAAGTCAAAAGTTTCACATTAGGCAAAATAAAATCAGAAAATCCCGTACATAAATTTGCCATGCAGCTTTAGCTTTGACCCTTGCACGTATGGCAGATCATAGTTAGGTTGATGATATTACATCTTTCATTTGGCACATTTCCATCCATTTATACTCATATGTGTTTAAATAATGATCCACTGTACAAGTTTGATGTTTTTCATATCTGTTCTCTAAGATATATATTGTAATAGGTTTTTCACTGTTCCATACATAATTGTTTCAATCATATAAAAATAGCACAGAATTCTCAACTAGCATTCTATAGATTAAAAAAGTCCAAAAAAAAGACTGCACTTTTGTCCAAATTTTCTTTCTAATACAGATATTCTGGAGTTTTTATTTCATACAGTGGCCTTCACTTGAGTAAAGTTCTGTGGATTTCATCCTTTCCTTTTACAATGCTGTAAGATTTCTATAGCCACTACAGCAACTGGCAGTTCAAAAGTAGTCAATGTTGTGTTTTTTCGGTTGTTTTCTTTTTTTAACTAAGCTCATAATTTACAAGCAAGAAGATCAGGTGCATAAATTCTGCCTTCTCCTACCACTAATAACACACTGAAGTCTATCACTGTTTCCTAGGCAAGTGTTTAGGAATATTTATTTTATGAAGTCTGGGAAAAATTTCTCAAGATCCCTCAGTTGCAGGTTATAAATCTGGCATGCCTGCAGATGAACTATTCAAGAAAGGTAAAGTTAATGTAGGATGAAGTAGAGCATTCAAGGTTCTGCTGGAGTCATTACTGATCCTGTATTGTCCATGTAGCTGTAGAAGAAAGAAATCCTTTTCTTTAGGTAATACTTGATAATTGTCATATTTCTCTCAGGTGAAGATAAAAGTTAAGTGAATATTCCTGGTATACCATCTGGTTTACCTTTAAAGTGTTAAGTTTTAAATATTTTTAAATATTCTTCTTCGGGGTTTTTTTTGTTTGTTTTCTCTGAGGAGATCTCTTAAGCTTTTCTTTTTTAATAGATCTCTTATAATAACATTTTTCTTCAACATACTTGAATCACATACTGCTGTGGTTAACTCAAGGTCCACATTTTTCTCTAATAATTCATAGTTCACTTGATCAGCTCTTTTAACTTAAATAATCTCCTTTTGTTCATATTGAAGGATTTGCCTTGATTAAAGGCATTAATTGTCATACATTTGAAAAATATGCAGTTGTTTCACATCTCACTTCTATATCTATCTCCACAATTTGCTTATGATGATATACCTTTTAGACATAGTGGAAAACAGTTGTAATTTTTGTTTTTTCTAAATGTAGTCTCAGTTTTCCTTCTGCATGGAATTGGCTGAGGTTTCTTAATAAATTGTCAAAGCTGTTAACTTGTGACTTTCCTCTATCATTTAACTTCTGAGCAATAACTGGTATGAATTACTGAGTTTCAGTAAATTTGGGGGAAGCTAGGTAAAATCTTGATTAAATGTCTCTGGTTAATTTTAAACATAGGGTATAAGCTATGGTTGCTGATGTTTTTCTCATAGAAGGTTACTTAACACAGTATAAAAAAAGTTCATATATGTTATTTTTAATAGAGCGGACACAACTGAAATATGTTTTTGGGGCTTCATTAAAAAAAAAGCAGGCTTCAAGTGGCTCTTGAGCTATGCTGTAGGAACACTTATTTATGAGTTTCTGTGGAAATTTTATCATTTTTTTGTCCCACTGTTCTTTCATCCTTTAAAAACTTCTTTCAGTACAGAACAGTTATTTCCTTTCTCTCCTCTTATGTTTGCAAGTGTTTCCTTCTGCATCTTACTGTGCTGCTTTGAGAGACAATTAGACTGCCAGAATCTCTGCTGATATAGTCAGCATCTGAGGCAGAATTTATAGTGGTTATATTTTGTCCAAATGCTTCACTCTCTCTTTCTGAATAAGCCAAAAATACCTTAAAATTATATGTTATTATTTATTCTGTGCATCCCTGTTTGTACCTGAGGATAAAGCAGTCACATGGAATAAGCTCCTTGTCCTGTCCCTCTTCTGGCTGGGTAGCAGGGAAGAGTAGCCTTGGTTTTGTTTATGATCCACTGATGCTTTCTTGAAGATTGTTTATGTTCTGTTTTGGAGAAGTATATTCCAACTTACTATTTCATATGATGGGGGGGTCCAGCTTCCAAATGAAGTTTTTACAGCAGTTGCAACCCTGAAGCTCCAACCGTATGTATGGTCCAGGCAATCTCTGCTGCAGTACAGATCTAGTTTTCAATTTCTTCATTGTTTTAATGGCTTTCTGATGACTTAGCTCCAAAGGAACTCATTCTCTGAAATCAAAAGCGCCTCATTTTTATTGTTATTTATTAATTAAGTATTTTTATAGTGTGGTAAATGAATGGGGATTTCTAGTTACTAGCATGCTACATTCTTCCCCTCCTTTCATGTGTGACAAGGCAGATTTAACACAGTGTTCTGTGGGATCAGAGCAACAGAGTGCTGGTGGAATCAGTGGCTATGGCAAAAATTTGCCATACCATTAAATGCTAGATCCTTAATGAAAAATCAGTTGTTTGCCTGGTAGTCCATTTTTAGCCACCCTGAGATCTACCTGATTCTGTCAATTGTCAAATGCTGATGGTTTCCCAACCTCAAGTGGTATGAAATGTGGCAGTCAAGGATTTGAGTGCTCCTGTGCTAGATCCAGATGGTGATCGTGTATTCGGCCAGGGCTATTCACTGTCTTTGAGCAGCCTGAAATTTCATGTTGTAGAGAGAAGAGTCTGAGTGTTGTTTCTTGTGATAATGAAATTACAGCATTACAGTGAATTTGAAGCATACATTCTTCAGTGTTGCCCTCATCTGAGATCCCTTCAGAGATTACTACTGTGGTACAGCCCAGGGAATAAAAGTCTGTGTTTGCCATAACAGTGTGCTATAACCACATGCCAGGTGCCTGTAGAAATGTTCATTAATTTGTAGAGACTGGAGTCTAGAGACTGGAGGCTTTCAGTTTTTTGCTCACATTCTCTCAAAATAGTTACCCACCCATGTGGGAATTCAGTCTGGTTCAGTGTGACAATGTTGCTGAAGTTTAAGACAAATTTTTACAGGCAAAAGAAAAAACATTTGGCAAATTTGCCATCCTCTCAGAGTAGAACCTTGCTAATTCTTGTCTTTAAATGGAGAGAACTATGCTTCCTTGCTGAATGCTATATTTGTGCATGCTAAAAGGCTAGTGAGTTATTAAAATCATTCTCCAAAGCAGAGGTAAATCAATGTCTGATGCAGCCACTGGAAGGGCTCCAGAATTTCTAGTTTTCCACGTAATTATCTTTCAATGAAATATTATATTAAAAATAGAAATTAGTGAATGAAGGAAAATGGATTAACAATGTGAAACTATTTTGGTTTGTCTGAGGAGAACCTTTATGATATTTATTAGACATACTGTTCTGTACTCAGCCAAATAACTGTGTA